AAGAGTTTTAATCGCCCACTGCCTCGCTAAAAGGAACCTAATGGATCGTACACCGTGTAAGGCATAGATTGAAGAAACAATGGAGATGAGTAAGAATAATTAAATGGTTTAATTATTTATGGCAAGGATTAATTAATATGTTAATTAATCAAATGAATCAAGTTCGTTAAAAGACCACGGGTTAGTTTTGGGCCTCAAGGCCCAATGGGCTTCGAACATCAAGTCAATTGACTTAAGTTGTATGACAACTTAATGACAAATAATTCACAAAGGCCTTAAAAGCCCAATGAAACCTTATGGCCGGCCATTTTGTTAAAGGAGTGGGTTTTGGACTTAATTACAAGTTTGCCACTCCAATGAATAAAGGTATAAATATGACTTTATAGCCAAAATTCATTAAGGGTTTTCTTTTGGGGAAAGGATGAGAACATAAGCTCTCCTTTCTCTCTAAAGTGGCCGGCCTCCTTGGAGGGTTTAGCTAGCAATCCTACTACTCCAAGGTCACTCATTTCTTCTCCAATCTAACCTTGGTGAAGCGACTTAGAGGTTCTCAATTTTGGGAACTTGGAGAACCATTTCATCCATCCAAATCCATGGATCTAAGATGCAAGGAATGAAGGCCCTCTCTTTGGGTGATTAGCCTTTGCTTATGCAAAGAGTAATCTACAAAGGTATAATTTCTCAACTAACAAATGTTGTTTTAAGTTGAATCAAGGTTCACCAATCTACTAGGCTTTGAATTTCATGGTTAATGTTTTGTTTTTGAGTGCATGCAAGCATGATTCCGCCTTTTAATTGTTTATTGCATGCTATAGATGTTGCTCAAATGAACATGTTTTTCACAATATTTCCTTCAGTTGCCAAGGGGTGTGGGGCGAGCCACCCACGTCGATGAAGGCACGGCGAGGAGTGCGAGGGGATCTAGGTCTCGCGAGTCAGGAGACTCGATGTGAATTGGAGGAATGACGTTAGTCGCACCGGAAGAAAAGTCGATACCACCACGGTGACAAGTGAATTCACGACGAGATTGCTTGAGATAGGCGGCGAAGCGGGCGTCCATGGAATCTGCGAGGGCCGCGACTGAAGTGGTGAGATTCGACACCAAGGTTTCCAAATCAGCAACGCGAGAATCCATAACGTTGAGATGAGTGTTGTGGTTGTGGCGGGGCATACAATGAGGGATAGCACCAGGATCGAATAAGGGTGATACCAATGATAACAACCAACCTAAATCCGGTAGCTCAACCTTAACAAGTTGCAATAATGGAGGAAAGGCGAAAGGAAGAAGAAGAGCACGGAGAACGTGCTTGGATATTGTTTATATATTTTCTTTCAATTTTTCGTTACAAAAGCAAGGGAGTCATTGCTCCATTTAAAGAGTTTGGCCCAAAGTGCCAGCTCAGCCTATGAAGACTCGAAATTTTTTTCCAAGTATTTAATTATTTATATTATAACACTTGGTTTATTTAGTTGTATTTTTTATACATCACAAATATCTCATATTTTTCTTTTAGCAAATTAGCACCCAAGAGTTTGGCTTTTACGATGGAAATTAGATGGTGCTTAATTCAAAGAATTTTTAAGTATAACCATAATTATTTATATTATAGACATTTTAATATAAATTAATTAATATTAATTTTTTAATCAATTAATTACAGAATATTTGGTCGAATTCTTCTATATGCTTTTGTAGAGTATGTTTTTGCATAGTTTTTCTATTTATCAGTGGCATTCTTCCTTGTTGAAGTCTCTTACGCGATGGGCTCACAATTTTATATGGTCAGATGAGGTGACCTCAAAGAAGATTGTCATGGTTTCTTGTTCACAAATTTGTGCACTAAAAATGAGGGTGGTTTGGGATTACGTGATCTTTGCTCTCCAAATACTATTGTTCTCTTAAAACTTGGATGCGTTATTATTACTTTTGATTCTCCATGGACTGTTTATTTTCGAGAGCGACTCCAGCTACATGGTCGTTTATACTCTTCTTGTTACAAACGATCTTTTATATGGCCTGGTGTTAAATCCATTCTTCATATCTTATTTCATTATGGTCGTTGGGTGGTTGGAAATGGCTATAGTACTTCTCTTTGGGTTGACAAGTGGTTGGATATGCCTATTATGGAGGTTATTGGTGCTACTGAACTTGCTCATTCTCTATCTCGCACTAAGGTCTCAAACATTATTCACATGGGAAAATGGATTATTTCTTCTATTATTTCTTCTACTTTTCTAGATTTGACTAAAGAGATTTTAGAGACACCTCTTCTAATTGATGAGGACAATGACGTGTCATTTTGGGAAACTTCTACATCTAGAGTCTTTTCATTTTATGATGGCTATGAAATTGTTTGTCATCGGTTTCCTGTTAAAATTTAGGCTTCCATTATTTGACGTCATTTCATTCCACCTCACTAATCTATTTTAGTTTGGAAGATTCTTTTCAAAAAACTCTCAACGGAGGATCAACTTCAACGACGAGGCATTCCTCTGGTTCCAATATGCCAACTATGTTACAATAACTCTAAATTTATGAGCCCTTATTCTTTTAGTTGTGAATTTACACAACATGCTTGGTGTTGGCTTGCCACTCAATTTGGCACTATTTTTCAGCTTACTGATTCCTTCTCGGATTTATAGCTTGCTTTTGTGTCAAGCAATTTTCTCCACAACTTTGCAATGTCTTACTAACATCAGGGTTTTTCTTACTAATGACTATTTGGAAGATGCGTAATAAAATGAAGTTTAAAAGTAAGCCTCCTTCTTTTTCATGCCTTTGTCGTTCCACCTTGGCATGGATTAGGCAGGTGTGAGTTTTCACTCATGGTCATGTCTATGTTTCTGGATAAGCAACTTTTAATGTCTTTTGCATCCCCTCCATTTTCCCAGGTCAAGTGAATACAAATGGCCTTACTAAGGTAAACCAGGTCCTACAGCTTGTGGTGGGGTTTTCCAAGATTCTACAGATTATTTTCTTGGTGGTTTCTCACTGGGCTTGGGGCATCATACTTCTTTCTATGTGGAGCTTCATGTTGTCATTTTTGCTATGGAATTGGCTCACGAACAGGGTTGACAAAATTTATGGCTTGAAAGTGACTCTTCTAGTGTGGTATCTTACTTTGCTTCTGGTTTTTTTTTTTTTTTTTTTGTCCTCCTTGGCCGCTCTAGACTCATTGGAAGAACTGTATTTCTCGATTATAGCACATTTATTTCATTGCTCTTATACATTTCGAGAAGGGAATGCAGTTGCTGATAAATTGGCCAATTTATGGCTTCTCTCATCTTCATTTGTTTGGCATACTACTCCTCCTATAAAGATTCTTCCTTCTCTAAAATCAAATTTCTTGGGTATGCTGATCTACATGTGTCCCCCCTTCTTGATGTGTGGTTTCTTTTTAACTTTTTTTTGTTGGATTTTCCTTTTTTATTTTGCAGCTTATCTTGCAGGTTATTACCTTTTAGGTTTTATTTTGGAGAGGTTTGGTCCATGTCCACTTTCTCTTTTTCTTGTATTTTGGGTTAAGGTCTAGTCCCCCATTTTTTTTCTTGTATTTTTTTTTAAGGAGGGTAAGGTGTATGCCCCCCTCTGTTCTTGTATTTTATTTTATTTTTTAGTTTTTTTTTTAATTTTAGTACTCATGACAACAAAATAAGAAGGGTGTATTTAATTGAGTTTTTGAGGGAATTTAAAGAATTTATAAATTCATAGGTTGTGATGGAGTTTAATTGATTTGTAGAGATTCCATATAAAATTTTGATTCAATTTCATCGAAATCTAAAAAGAGAGGTGAGATTTATTAATGCTTAAAATACATTACGAAATCCCTCAAATTCTCTCAAATTCCTTAACTTTTTAAAATTCTTTAAAATAAATTCATAATTAAATACACCTTATAAACTTCTTTAAAATTTTAATTAAATGTAGTTGGATTTCAAATGATTTTATCAAATCATCTTAAAATCTTAATTGAATACTGGTTGTGTGAAATCCCGTCCCTGAATTTCACTATTATAAACTACGTATGTGTATTAAGGAGTTATTATATTAATTTTAGGATTTGTATTAATTGTAGAGTGTTGAGATTGTGTATTCAAAAGATATCATGGTGAAAAAGCTATAATTAAAAAGTTGCCCTTAATTAATTAAGGAGAAGAAAACAAAAAAAAGAAAAAAAGAAGGGGAAGAGAACTCTAGAAGCTGCGGGATGGCAGCAGGGGAGAGGGAGAAAAGAAAGATGCGGGAAAGAGATCGAGGAGGGGAGAAGGGGAAGAACCCTCGATTCCGTCGACTCTGATTTCAGCGTTTCAAGGAGAACATCTTCCACGGGAGGCTCAGCCGATGGGATGGGCGATGAGGTTGCGAGTGGCTTGGTAACTTGCGCAAGCTTTAGAGTATTGCAGCAGTAAAGGGCAGGCATTGTACCATGATCTGAATGCTTACAGAGTCCTCTTTGGTAAGGTTGCGAATCCCAGACTCTCGGATTCCTACTGTATCAAATCAAATCCCCAAATCCAAACTCAATTCGATAATTTTGTGAATTTTTATTTGTTTTAGATTGGTTTGTTTCCTCTAAAATACCCACATCTCAAATTGTGATTTTATGTGATTTTTGATGGGTTTGGAAGTTGATTTTTTTAACAAGAGTATGAATGGTAGTATGCTACTATAGTTTTCGTAGGGAATAATGTTCTAATGAAAATTCATGTGGTGGTATGGTATTATGGATCTTGAGATGCATTTTGTTATGAAAAATAGTATGTGAATTTAATGCCCATGTTATTGGGTAAAGGTTACATCTTGCGTCTAGTTGGACTTTAAAAACATAGCTCCCATTTCTTACTTCCAAAAAATAAAAAAACTGATACGCAACTCAGACGAAAGCCATACCCAACTGCTGGAAGTTCAGTAGCATTTATTGCTTCAGTAATGTATGCAAACTTGAAGCTCAATCATTCGTATTCTTAAAATCTTGCACAGTTTTAACAGAGGAACTGTTGTATGTATTATGATCAGTTCCTTCCCTGCAGCTGGCTGTCCTACCTGATATTGAAGAATTCGCATACAAAAACGTGAATACATCTACCAATTCAAGTAAGTATATTTTTGACAACACTGATTATATGTTTTGGGCTTCCTGGTGAAATGAGCTCTTGCTGGCTGATGTCAAATTGAAGAAAGTTATGAACTATGAAGTACATTCTGTTCCAGTGGATACATTATTAGAGAAATTGGTTGCAATTTGAATTTGCACCGTTGCTATAAAATTTTATTGCTTTGCCAGCACTCCTCATGCTTTTATCATTTAAAATGATACATTGAGTGTTGTGCTTATCGCAGGGTGCTACTTTCTTTCTTGACCATTTCATTGCTTCTTTTGTTTGGGCTAAGACAAGACTTAATTGATTGTGCTTGATATATAATATGTTCAGGAATTAATTCTTAGCCTTAGGAAGTGTATGTATGATTAGAATGGTGATATCGTATGCCCAGAAGGCTATGAATGAATGTATCATGTATTCTTTGTAAATTTGTTCGGATCTTATCTTCTGAAACTTTGTTTAGATGTTGCATCTTAATCAAAATAAAGTAAGACTCCATCAAAATCATACCTAATCTCTACTTCTCTTCCATCAATATTAATTTAAAATCAATGATTTTTTTGTTACTGAGGAACGACATAAAGTATAGGCGTCATGAATTAAAGCCCAAGGACAATATATGTTTTACAATCTAACCACAAGATGTGTTTCCATAATTCTCCCTTTTCTCTATCCTGTGTGTGGACCATTTGATATAAACATTTAAAAGGCATTGGCCAACCTTCAAAATACTGTCTCTAATCCCTGATTAACAGAATATGAAAGGTTTCAAGAAATTTCATGCATGGTTGGATTGGATACTTGAGAAGCTTAAATACAATAAACTGGAAAAAAAGGATTTGAGGAGAGAAAAAGAGGCATACAGAAGTTATTTAATCATTTTCCTACACCTACCCGTGGACAATTTTGATTTTCTAATTTTTTTTCTTCACCTTCGTCATTTGTCAAATCTTACATCTAGTTTAAACTGATTAAGATCCACTGTCTAGATTAATGGGTTTGTACTTAGTGAAGCTTCCTAAGAATTGAATAAATAATTCATAGGAACATTGGTGTATCTCAAGGTTCTATTATGAAATCGCTTCTGGAAGTGGAAGCTAACAAAAGTGTAGTGTGTTGCAGGTGAATGTCATGCTTAAGGAATTGCCAGAGGAGATATTTGGGCCCCAAATCGGTATTAGAGAATACTCATTCTTTGATAATCCATTGATGCCAAAACAGGTAAATGAGTCTGAAATTTTTAAGTCAAAAGCATCAGTTTTATTGATTCTGTCACTAAGCGGAAAACTTCATTTTTAGGTGAAAGAATCATGGCTTGATGTCCAGCTTTGTCAAGAAAGAACCCGAGGCTGTGTTGCTTTAAACACTACCAGCCCTTTAGGAGCACTCAGATTTCCAAGGAGAAGCAACGAAGAAATGGTAATCTGAATTAATATGTGTGTGCACGTTTGTGCGTGTGTGAGTGCATTTTATTTCTTTCTTGAAAGAGTATACATTAATATATGTGTATTTTATACCCTATTAATAAGTAGTGTCTTCTGAATCCTGATGTTCTAACTCTGAGTAACTTACACGAAATTGGATTTCACTTGTATATGCAGTTCAAGACGGTATTCTCCTCATTCAAGGATGTAAAAATAATTCAGTTTTCTTCTATGCAAGATGCATTCGCAGGTTTCACCGACAAGGCAAGCCTTTTCATCGTCTTTGGTTTTTCTTTTTTACTTTGGTTTTGTATTAATCCCTGAACATGCACTACATGCTTAGTTATCATGTGCTGATGTGATGCTTTGTGAAATTTATGGCCAGGCAACGGTGCTGTGTGGCCGAACACACTCCTGGTCACATATACTATGACATGTACTGGGATGAGAAACCAGGTTGGATACCTATCCCTCCTCGAACCCCTGAGGATGATCACCCACCACCGTGAAACCTAGCTACCCGTCAAAAGAAATACAAATCCGAGGAGCATTGGGGAAACGAAGAGGATTGCCGCATCCATGTTTGTACACGGAGCAGAGGCTCTTCCTTTTATCCATCCATATTAAGAATCTGTGTATCAATCAAATTGAAGAAATATTTTTCAAGTGCATCACTCATAATCTTCATATATAGCTCCAATAAAAGAAATGGAAAACTTTTTATTAATCTGCACCGTCTATTATTATTTTTTAAATGAAAATGGAAAAGGATTGGTGAGATTAACTCTTCGTCAATAATTGTGGGCGAGGGTTATTTAGTACTACAGTCTAGTAGTATTTCTCTTCAGTTGGAAGTGAGAGGTCGTATGTTCGATTCTCGTCAAAGACGTATTTGAAGCATAATATTGCTATCCCATCGTAAGATTTAGCCCACTTTCCTACTTCTTTGATGTAGATAATATTGTTTGTTAAAAAAATTAAATAATAATTGTATGCGAGGCATCAACCCTCTTCTGAAAGGGAAAGGACCATTGGACCCAGGGTAGGCGAGATTGGGTGTCTCTGGGGCTTTAGTGGCCGGAGCCTGTCGGGGTGGGAAATCTAGAACTTCCTTTGAGGGTTTTCCATAAAATCCAACCCAAATTTGTCGGGTTTAGACCTAAATTATGAGGGAGATCGAATGGCAACGACATGAGGGTCATTTGGCACCTTTGCCGTTGTCAAAGATGGCTGGAAACTCAAAATGTGGTCGGGTAGGGGCGCAGGTCGAGGGAAGACCCGGTTTGCAAAACTTTGTATGTATGTACTCACCTGATACCAGTGTGAGATCCAAATGCTGCAGATTTCATGGGTGACACGAGGGTCGGACAGGGCATCAACCTATTGGTGGAGGAATCGCTCTTGCCTGCAATGAACATTTAGATCATAAGCAAGCATGACGTTTGAATACATTTATTTCCACGTAGAGACATCATAGGGTTGCTAGGTACCTATCGGGTGCCCAAGATCTGTATCTCTCTCCAGGTTGCTTGAAGTTGTTCTCCTTCTTAATGATGCACTGCATAACCAACGAACTGATGCTCATCAATCTATGTTAGCACATGAGTCGAAGTTGCCTAATGCGACCTGTACGACAGTATTGGGTGTAAATGCGACATGTACGACAGTACTGGGTGTAATCAGAATATACACTCTAGTGCTACAATCACGTGAAGACTGTCCCTATTCGCGATCACCTACGAGTCAGAGTTGCCTAATGCAACCTGTACGACAGGACTGACACCTACTTGGATCCAAGGCGAGCGTGCGGTGCAGAAGTGAACATACACGTGAAAGATTGGCCCTGGCCCTGGGCGAGCAATAACACCGTGGTGCAGCAATGATGAGCTGACTACATAAATATAAGCATGGCACAGTGATTCGATGGTTCTAATTAACATACTAACATTCATAGCCGTAGATATAATTATGGCATCAAAGATTATAAGTATACCTGTGCATCCCATAGGATGTAGCATATTTCATAAATTCCGTCATTTTGCTAATTCTTATAAACTTTAGTCTAATCCAGGCGTACTTAAGAAATTCTTTTTCAAATGCATAAATGGAAACCATCAATCATATATATATACACACTATAAAAAGGAAAAGACCCACTCACCTGAAGTCCACGCTACAACTCCCTAGCACGAATATCGAGGTGTCACGAACGATCGTCACCTAGAACAATTATCAAATCACGTCTCATAATTCTTATTGATAGAACACGTAACTTACATACAACACATCCCTAATGACATTCTAGAATGATTTGTAACCCATTAACCAAAAGTCAACCGTCGTCAAACGTTGACGGTAGGGTCCACAACTCTACGTAACTCGATCCGAAAGATCCGCACCTCGGATTTTCGATCTGTAACTTCTCAAGAGTTTCAATAAGCTTCTAGAACAATTGCTAGAATTGGTAGAATTGGGTTGCTTATTGAAACCCTACGTAACTACGATTCAACGGTCGGATCTCCGCCAATTGCTAGAATTGGGTTGCTATCAATGTTTTATTTTACGAACTTACAAATCCAATTCGGGAAGATCAGTACGTTGGATTCCTGATCTGAAAGTTCCTATGGTCCTTAAATATTACGTACTATAACATACTAAGGTTTGGTGACGATCCAAAGGTCGGATCGTCGATTCACATAATGTTCAAGTGGTGGACCTTGGCGAAATTATACCCAACCAATGAAATTTCATTAATCAGATGTCAAATATGGAATCGGGGCATCCAAATTAGCCTAGGAAGGTCAGGTGGGGTCTCGGCCCATGCGGCGGATGGCCGCCCCGACTCGTCGGAAAAATTCAACTATTTCTAAAAATTCTCAAATTTTATAAGAGTGAAGATCTCAACGAGTAGAGCAAGTTTTATACATGTGGTCAAGTCTAATTTGGCCGGGAAAAGCTTCAAATCGCCATGAACCCACCAAAACCCTAGAATTTGGGTGTTCTTGATTCGTCCTCAAATCAACTCCGATGCTCCAACCAATAATTGGGCATTGTTCCTGAGCTAAAGGGAAGTTTTTTGATGGTGGATATCGACGGGAAAGGTTGCAAAAAAGGGCGAATTGCAACAGGGTGTCCTCGAAGCCGTCGGCTTCGTTCCTAGTGAAATTGAGGCCAAAACCCTCATAATTTAAGTGGAAATGAGAGAATGGAGGTTAGGGTTGTGTATACAGGTAAGGGTTGGGTAGAATTCGTTGGAAAAATGGATGAGAATCACCGGAAAACTCTCCGGGTCGAAACTGGGTTACGGGTCGAAGGGGAACTCGGCCGGTTCCCTCCTTCCTCCTTTCCCCTCCTTTCTTCTCTTCTCATTGGTCAGACTCTCCTCCCTTTTCTCTTAATTGATCCATCCCCCTTTTTCTCTGATTGGGTAGCCAATGCTCTCCTTTCTTTCTCTTCTTCTTATCTTTCCGATTGGCCAATGCTCCCACTCTTTTCTATCAACGAATAATAAAATAATAATATAATGATTTCAAAACAAATGTGTTGATGCACAAAATCAGCGAGGACTTTGATACAACAGAAAGTTTTAAGTTTGAGACATTCGCTAGATTGCTCCGGTCACTAGTGTGGATAAGTATGTAAATGGATAGGGATAGGGAAGCAAACACAAGATGTACGCGGTTCACCTAGATTGGCTACGTCCACAGAGTAGAGGAGTTCTCATTAATTGTGAAGGGTTTACACAAGTACATAGGTTCAAGCTCTCATTTAGTGAGTACTAGCGAATGATTTAGTACAAATGACATTAGGAAATATTGTGAGAGAATGATCTTTATTTATAGAAGAGAGTTTCTAGTTTTATTCTGACATTGACACGTGTTGTGTTGTGATTGGCTTCTGATGTTGACACGTGTCGCTCTATGATTGGCTTCTGATGTCGACACGTGTCGCGCTGTGATGGCCTCCTGGTTGGAGGGAAACTCTTATGGGTTCTTGACGGTATAACGTTGACTGGTGCACAATAGTTTTGGGATTGGTCAAGTATGGTACAAACAAAATGTATAAAATATAAATTACTAATTTTTCACAAAAGTAATTCTCGGATTCGTAGTTCCATAAAATTTTCATCGCAATTCCAATCTTGATTCCGCTTGCGCTTTTGGATTCGTAGTGACGAGCACTATGAGGATACGCTAAAACAATGTTTCATATGTTTCCCAATACACAGGTCAACACAAGTTAACACCTTCACCTCAAGGGGTATTTTTCGTCAAGTCACTAATTTAAAATAAATAAAATCATAAAATTAGGGACGGGTTGTCACAGAGATGTTTAGAGTGGTAATTTGTTGGAATTTTAGTTGATAAACATAATTTTATAAATATGTAGTTTAAATAAATCTAAATAAAGACATTAGATATGAGAGATCGTTAACACACAGTTCCTCAACCTTTCTTCATCTTCTTATTGCCTCACCTTCCTTTTCCCTCTCTATATTTTAGGTCACATGTTAGAATGGATAAGGATCCTCTTCGGATCCTTTTTGTAGGGATCCAAAAATCAATCAATCGTGTCCGATCATCGTACACCGTGTAGTTAATTTTCATCATGTATTATTTATATTTAATTTTAAATTAAAAATTAAAAATAATTTCTAACCACACAATTTATAATGAACAAACACGATTAATTAATTCTCCAGATCCACAAAGAGAATTAAAAAAGAATCCTATTAAAAATCACCCCCACTGATTCTCTCAATCTCTTTTTTTCTATTTTTTTTATTTTTTTATTCATTTCAACTTTTCTATTTTAGAAAGACTTGACTGTTCGAGATTCCTTTTCATTTTTTTTCTCCTCTTCAATTTATTTGACCGATTCAAAGAATGTCATGCCTATTATAAAATATTCAGTAAAAATTATTTTTAAATAAAATTAATTAAAATTAATGTTATTTAGTTGACTAAGTATACTTTGAATTTTAGTCAGCAAATAGATAATCACAACAAATGACTTAGTGGTAAGAGCGCAACTCTCAACTAGATAAAAAATGTGAAAGGTTTTGAATTTGATGTTTCGAGTTGGTGAGTCTGCTTAATAGCCAAACCATTTCATATATAATTATTTTTTTACAAAATTAAAACAAATAAATAAATGATTCGTAATTCATTTATCGAATCTATGTATATATTTCTATACCGTTGGATAACCAAATCATTTCATATATAATTGATTTTTTACAAAATAAAAAATAATTTATAATATAAAGACGTTTGAGCGTAAGCACGAAATTTCAAAATATGGGCTGCACAGAGAATTGAAAGAAACTCGTCATTCCTTCATCTTATATAACGATCAAGCTCGCTCTACTGACTCAGTCTCTGTCTGTGTAGTTTGGTGAGTTACTAGTTGACTTTAAAGCAAGAAGTAGAATGGCCATGCTGGGTTGCTACGTGTGTGGTGGGGTCCATTTGTTCTTTCTCACACAATGAGATTGCCTGGATTGGAATCAGAATATATTCTTAGTTTCTTCAAGGAAAAGATTGAAACTTTGGAATTGTGGGAAACAACCACCGCTTCAATCCAGAGGTCTTTTCTGAGGTTGTTTGTTGTTTGTTGTATTGCGGACAGCATTTTTATGGCTGAATAAAACCAAGAAAAATAAAATAAATACCCACTTCTACTTGACCTGGGTATCTACAAGAATCTTCACCACAGTGAGTTATTCTTATTCCTTTTTCTTTCTTTTTTATTTTTTGGGTTTTCTGGGTCTCAGAGACTGGATTGCTTCTTGTTTAGTGGAACTGCAGTGCTTGAATTTTCAACTGGAATCTTGAAAATCTGTGGGAAGTGGGTTTTATTTAATTTCTTGTGTTTTTGCCTTTTCATTTGAATCATTGACATTGGAAGATTTGAATCATTGCATCAATCTATTAATTATTGATTAGTTCTTGCATCATTGACTCGTATGGGATTTCTATGAGTGGAAAACAGAATATAATCTTAATCTTTGTACAGTAACAGATACATACACAATTTAATTCCTGTTTCTTTGCCTTTGTTTAGTTAGTTTTACCTTGTTAATTCTATGAAACGAGTTGTTTGCAATTTCTTATGTTATTTGTTCTTCTCTGAAGAATTTTGTTTATTATTTTGGGGAATTCAGACGGACTCGGATTTGAAGGCCGGGCACACAAGACTTGAATTCTTGCCAATATTAATGAGTTTTCGAACCTAAAGGTTGGGGGATACAGCGGAACTGAATCCGGAAAGTGAGGCTTCTGCAAGGGGCTGTAATGGATGATGGCGTTCTGTCACCAGCTACCATGCTGGGAGCTCAACCTGATTCCGCTATGGATTTGGATTTCATGGATGAACTCTTCTTAGAGGGATGCTGGTTGGAAGCGAGAGATGGACCTGAGTTTCCTAATCAGAGCCTCCCCAATACCCCCTTGAACCCCTCCTTTTTTTGGCATACGTTGGAGACCAATGGCAATATGGCCATGACCCCGTCTCAAAACAGTAATCAAGAGGAGATGCAAACCCCATTCTTTAAACAACTCGAGGAAGGTCCTGTGAATCCTCAGTCTCCTTGCCAGAGTATGATAGAAGATGTTGTGGCCTACTCTGGTCAATCAGAGGATCCTACAATAGGTCGTGAATTGAGCAGAAGGTGGTGGATTGGTCCCACTGGAAATGATGGGTCTGCATCATCTGTGACGCAGAGATTAATGACGGCACTCATGTACATCAGAGAGGTCATGAGAAACAAAGATGTCCTAGTACAAGTATGGGTGCCAGTGAATAGAGGGGGTAGAGATGTTTTAACAACGAATGAACTTTTCTGTCTTGATCCTAACTGTTCCAGGCTTGCTAAATATCGAGATATCTCTGTTAATTACCAGTTCTCAACTGGGGAGGATTCAACAGAGATGGTCAAGGGATTGCCTGGCCGGGTTTTCTCGGGTAAGGTTCCTGAGTGGACTCCTGATGCTCGATATTTTACAAGTGATGAATATCCACGGGTTGGCTATGCTCAACAGTATGATGTAAGTGGAACTCTAGCCCTTCCAATCTTTGAACAAGGTAGTAGGACTTGCTTGGGTGTAATTGAGGTTGTTACGACCGACCAGAAGATAAGGTATCAACCTGACATTGATGGCATTTGCAAGGCACTTGAGGTCTGTACTCTTTCCATGTATCATAATTTCATTCATTTGGTTTTCTTTCTTTTGTTGAGAATGAGTTCCACATTGATGGGAGGATGGACCTTGCATGGGCTTTAAGAGGTTGGGCTACTTCCTCATATTGCCAATTGGTTTTATAGTGGAACCTCAACTTTTTTCATGGTATCAGAGCAAGTTGTGTTATCCATGTGTTAGGCTCAAAAATTCGCCATATGTGAGGGGGCGTGTTGAGAATGAGTCCCACATTGAGAGGTTGGGCTACTCCTCTTATTGCCAATTGGTTTTATGATGGAATCTCAACTTTCTTCACCTTTTGACAAATAATATTACAAGAGTTTCCCATGATTCTTAGAGATGATATAACTATAATCAAGATGTCGTATCACACTATTTCTTTAGTTTTTGATGACTTTCAATTTTTCTTAAGGGCATCCTCATACCAAATCAAACTGTATGCGTGGCATCTAACTTGACATTGTAAAGGTTCTTGCTTTATCTTCTTTTGTGTTCATGTTAATGGAGCAAGTTTCTCTTTTGTTAATCCTCTAAGCCTGTTTTCCAAACTGAGAGAATAGTTAATGGATTTAAACTTTTAAAAGATATTCCGTCACACCCATGAATTGGAAACTCAATTCTGGTGTTTATCACTATGAGCTTCTGAATTTGAGGATGGACATACGAGTAGAAACCTCTTTTTTCCGTTCCTGTGTTTATTTCGTTCAATTTACTGGAAAAAAGAGGGAAAACTTATTTTTAGTATTACGCAGATAAACTTTTATTAGGTCCATGCTCCTAGAAAAAGACTTTTGAAATTCACATGAATCTTGTTTTCTGATGTAGACAAGCTTTACAATTTGCAGGCTGTTGATCTTCGAAGTTCTAGAAATTTGAGTACTGAAAATGTAAAGGTAAACGGATAGATCTGAAGGAAGCTTGATTTATCACGTATTAGCATATTTTGATTTTTGTTCTAAGGTCATTTGGTGGAATTATCTTAGCAGGGGTGTGACAAGCCCTATCACGCTGCGTTACCTGAGATCCAAGAGATCTTGAGATCTGCATGTGAGACGCACAAATTGCCCTTGGCACAAACCTGGGTGTCATGCATCGAACAGGGTAAAGATGGGTGTCGACATTCTGATGACAACTACATCCACTGTGTTTCAACTGTGGATCATGCTTGTCATGTGGCTGATCCTTATATCCAGGGTTTTCATGAAGCGTGCTCTGAGCATCACTTGCTAAGAGGCCAAGGCATCGTTGGAAGAGCTTTTATGACCAATCAGCCATGTTTCTCAGATGATATAACTTCCTTTTTCAAGACAGAGTATCCTCTATCTCACCATGCCAGGATGTTCAATTTGCATGCAGCTGTTGCAATACGTCTACGGAGCACCGACACTAGTTCAACTGATTTTGTCCTGGAGTTCTTCTTGCCACTGGAGTGCAGGGATCCTAAAGAACAGAAAAAGATGCTTAATTCACTGTCCTTGATTATACAACAGACATGCCGGAGCTTACGGGTTGTCACAGACAAGGAAGTTGAGGAGGAAACTAAATTTCATGTCAGTGAGGTGATAGTCCCGTCAGATCCCGGACCAAGTAATATTGCCTGTTTCACAGAGGTCCAACAGAATGGTAATGCTGTCTCAATGTTCCCAAACAAAAAACAACGCAAGGTGCTGAGTGTGAAATTGTCGAAATTAAGGCAGCATCAGGAATATTCAAACCTAAAAAGTGTTGAGTGTGGAGAAGAGTTTTCTGTTTTGGGTGAGGGTGAGGGTAGCTTTTCAACTGTTGGTGCGAGTAAGACAAGAGAGAAAAGACGTGCCAAGGCAGAAAAAGATATCAACTTGCAAGTTCTTCGAAAATATTTTTCCGGTAGTCTAAAAGATGCTGCAAAGAGTATTGGAGGTAAGCATTTCTTGTGATAAACCTGCTTCCTGTTTGATGTTTTAGTTGTGAATATTCCTATGGAATTTTGGTGGCATTCAGAGTAGTGGGACCGATGTATGTATACTTTGTGCAATTTATGATCGTTTTACTTGTACAATCTGTATGGTTTACATATACACACTGCAATCTTCCAAAATAAAGTTTCCCACATTAGTATTTTCTGTTTCTCCAGGTAATACCAATTGGACTTCAAAAATATCTACTAGCACGCTAATGTCTTGCAGCATTCTATATTTATGTGGATTATGTACTTTCTACTATGAAGGTTTCATCGTTCAAAATTTTAATGCATTTCTTTTACAAATTGTTCATGTTTAGTTTGCTCAACAACCTTGAAAAGGATATGCAGACAACATGGGATTAAACGTTGGCCATCTCGAAAAATAAAGAAGGTTGGTCACTCTTTACAGAAACTCCAACGTGTAATCGACTCAGTTGAAGGCGCATCTGGTGCTTTCCAAATCAACTCTTTCTATACGAACTTCCCAGAGCTAACGTCTCCAAAGTTATTGGGGACCAGCCCATTTTCAAATTCAAAGCTGAGTGACCAACCAAATCAGGAAAACTTGTCACCTGAAGGTGGTGATTTTAGCCCCCAAGCTACCGCATCAAAATCTCCCCCATCTTCGTGCAGTCAGAATTCCAGTTCAAGCCAATGCTGTTCCAGCAAGACACGGCAACATCCCTTCTCATGTAACGTTGCTGGTAATGATGATCCAGTTGGAGATAACTCAAGAGATGGTGTGCTAAAGAGGGTTAGAAGTGAGGCAGGATTGCATGATTTTTGCCAAGATCGAACGGAGCTACTGCCAAGATCCCAGAGCCAGAAAATTCTCTCTGAGCAACAAAATCTGCAGTCGATTCCACCTTCACTGAAAAATAATGGCCGGGTAGCTCAAGTAGAGGTTCAAAGAGTAAAAGTTGCATATGGGGATGAGAAAACCCGGTTCCGCATGCAGAGTAATTGGAGATATGAAGATTTGGTGCAAGAAATCGCAAAGCGATTTAGCATACAAGACATGAGTAATTTTGATATAAAATACTTGGATGATGACTCAGAAAGGGTGTTGTTAACATGTGATGATGATTTAGAGGAGTGTGTGGATGTATGCCGATCTTCACAGAGCCACACAATTAAGCTCTCTCTCCAGATTTCTCGTCACCATTTGAAAGGTTTGATAGGTAGACCGTCGTGATTGTAAGATGCTTCTCTGAGGTTGCAGACACTGAAGTAGCACAAGTTTGCAGTCAACAAAATGGGGATGCATCGGTTAGCTTTAGTAGGGATGTTCATGGGTGCTTGGAGCGTATGAAATCTTTGCAATGTAAATATGGAAGGTTCGGGTCGTGCGGAACGAAAAGCAAGGATGCTGGAAAATAGTCGTCCGGGAGATCCCTCCATCTGAAACTGCAGGCTGGCTTAACTCTACTTTGCTGGTCTATCAGTATTAGCTAGCTGTTAGTGATTTCCCTCTTTTTTTTTTCTTTCTTTTGTTAATTACAAGTTAGTTAATGGATGTCTGTATATTATTGACATATGTTTTTTTGCCAATTAAATAGCCCTGTTTATTTATTTACGTATCTGGATTGGTTTGTTAGAGATATCGAAGAAAATACGTAATGGTTTATAAACGGCCCCTTAATAAACCAGGAATTGGGTGCATCCTAAATCAAAACATTCATTAGTCGTCGTCTTTACTCTGGTTTTGTGAGCTGTGTTTTTGGGTTGAACTGGTTTTCTGAGTTGTTTTGTTCTCAGGTGAACCTACATTAATACATTTACCGAAAAAGAGGAGGAAGTTGATGTTAGATAATGTTTAAGAGAGTGACACTGACCAAGAAATACCCACTGCCATTACAAGATTAACAACAGAGACTGCATTCAATTGGATGTTCAGAATCGCCATCACACCCTGTAGAATGTTACCCAGTGAGCAAATGTGACAGCTAATTAAAAATCACCATGAGGAATGCACTAGTGAATCAAGCTAATTTATTACAGTTCAACTGTCCCAGTCCACACTGCTAGTGCAAGCTCCATGGCCGCCTTTAGCACAATCATTAGAGGGTAGAGCATTGAGGAACCATGCAAGTTTTTCTTTAAACTGTATGGTAGAGGGACGGTCATTTTGAACATCTGAGTGACGAAAGCACTGACCGCAAAATTGAAAAATGAGAATTGATCTATTCCCTCCTAGACAAACAAATTTAGTTAAAAACATTTCTCTATCATGCCATGCCTATATTACCATAATACACACTCCACCAAAGAACAATTAAAAACATACATACAAACGGACAATTCAAACACATATTAAAAAGCACTATACATGAAAGGGTAAAATGGAGACTACAAATAGTATATACTATAGTTGCCTTCGTATGTAGATGTTATGCATGCCAACTGTCTATGGGATGCCGGTTCCTAAAGGAAAGAGTAGTTCCCATAGCAGATAACCACTGTTGGGCTTGTAGATAGAAAATTAAATGAAATGCTGAAGCACATCATATGTTGAAAGGTGAAAAAGTTCATCTGAATGTATGTGATTTTCCAGATTTTCATAGTTGCCACATACATCCTAAAAGAGTGAAAATGAACAACAGTATAATTGAAGTTCTTCACAACAAAGTATAGTGGGGGTCCAATTCGGAGATACTCTGAAACATTATTGAAATACCCCTGCAATACATAAAAGTCAATGTTAACTCAAAGAAAAAACAGAATAATCAATAGCATAAGCGCATTTTGATAAGTAGGCAACCGACTTACAGACATGAAGATAGGAGTCTCGGGGAAGAACAATCTTTTGTTCCAAACCAGGCTGAATTCTGGTGCACAATGCCTGTAAAGTTTGAAAGAATCAGAAGTTAACTGAGGAAGGTGTGCGCACAAACAGTAAAATGGATATTCACATGGATATCAAATATATGATGAGTTAGGGGGGAAAATTATAAAACTCACAATGCTAGCCAATGCAAATGCAGCAAAGATGGAAATGACAACTATCTAGACTCCCCATAGGCTGAGAATGGGAGCATGGATCTCCTGCAAGTGCAAAACAAGAAAAAAGAGAAAAACAGCACTGTTAGAAATTTAGGTAAGCAGAAAGCAGACTATCATCACAGAATTACCACACTTTTGAAATAAAAAAATAGCATCGAAGTTTTTATTGATAACCCAACATTCTAATTCTTAAAGGTTTAAGCTCTTAAACATAGAAAAGTATGAAAATGATGGTAATTCCAACTGCCTATAACATCCCTATGATCTATCCATGTTGTTTTGTACGAGTAAAAAAGCAATCACCTTCATATAACGAGTCAGTAAACCAGGATTTTTCTGATCAATACCTAAATAAGACAGCATTCAAAAGAAAAACATAATATGAGAATAAAAGTAGGGTAGATTGAAAATTAGTGTTGGCATTAAGGAAAATGCATCAATCTGAGGTGCAGTTTGGGATTGAGGTGCTTAATAAAAAAGCTGGGATGAAAAAAAGTTATGAGAATTTTTGTTGTTTGGTAAACTTTGAAAAACAGCTTTATTTCAAAGTTAGGGTTGAGAAAAAGCCCAAAACGTGAAGAAGACCTGAAGTTGCAAATAGCAGCTTCCAAAAACAGCTTATTTTGAAAACACGGATGAACAGTGTTACGTTTAATGAAACTTTCAACAACCCACAATTACCCTCCGCTCTCGCCTTCCTCTCGCCTTCAGAGCTCTCGCGTACCTCCCAAACTGCACCGTAAACCACTCTCTCGTCCTCTCGTTCCAAAAACTAGCGATCTCTCTCCTTCTCTCGTTTTCCAGGTTTCTCCAGGTTCCTTTGGTAAGCTTCTCTTGTAAAAATTTGTTATTAATTTGTTTGGACTTTTCAATTTGGGGATGGGAGATTGACGGGAAAGAGGGGTGGGAAGAGCAAAGCGATGAGGGTATGGGTGTCGGGAAAAACAATGAGGGTATGGTTTCTCCAGGTTTCTCCCCAAACGTTCCTATGAGAATTTCTCAAATACCCAGATCAATTTTACCGCCCAATCGACCTAACCACTCACTTTTACTGAACTCAAAGCAAAAATTGCAACATGGGTTTCAAAGATTTGGACTATCAGTTGCCAAACCGACGAGAAGTCTCTGCACCAAGGCTGTGCTGTCTGAAATTCCGAACCAGGAGCTGTATGGGAAAGTTGGGGCCAATTCAACTGGACCAATTCCAATTGGTCAGCTCGTTGGAGCGGTTGAGAAGGCTGCCAAGACTGGCGCTGAGGTTTTCTCTTTAGCACTTTGCTTTTGTGATTCTTTGAATGTGCCGGCATTTCGTAAATTCTGTAATTTGAAGAAGAACCCAGATGGAATATGCATTTGTTTCTTCTGGGGAATGCTTGAATTTTATTGTTTCAGCCTTCATAATTCTTGCTTCAATACTTTTGACAATTACTTTTTCCATAACTAATGTTAGCTACAAAACCTTATGTTTATATAGATAGCCGAAGTTCACATGAGTGAAGGTGTAGAGTTGGACTTTCTAATGGCTGAAATAAAATTGGAAAGAGATTTTTAGAGTTTTATACATTTTTGATCATTTCACACAGTCACAGCTGTTTTACATAAAAGTTTACCAAACCCTATCATACAGCTTTTTTTTCTAAAAGCATTTTTACAAAAAAGTTTGTCAAACACTTTGCTGCTTTATTTCACAGCCGCTTATTCTCACAGCAACTTTTTTTTAAAGCACAACAATACCAAACCAACCCTGAATCAAGTTATAGAAAATATTCTGATACCTTTGTCAGAGTTAGTATATGATGAAATTTTCATGCATGGGTAATTGTTGTTGATAATTGCAAGTGTACAATATCGTCCAAGTAATATAGTGATAAGTAGAGTGTCGTTCAAACAAGGATCGGATTAACCTAAATTTACTATTGAGATTGACTTCAAACTAAACTTAAATAAAAGATGGATTACGATGACAAATTCAAATATGCAAAGAACCCAAACGAAAGTGAAAATATCAATTGAACAAACACGAAGTAAAAGTGAATGAATTATGAAAAATTAATATATTGAAGCACTAGGACATCAGGTTCCTTGTTCTCAATCCCATCTAATCCCATTATTCATATTAAACTCAAATTATTCCCATGTTGCTAGCAATTATCCCTTGATTCGTCAATATTTCCTTTCAGAATATACTAACTGTGTTTCTAACTATCTACCCATGCTATGTCTAGCCACAAAAGTAGATAATCGAAACCCTTTACGATAAATGGATAATTTCACAATACTACACAAGTCATAACCAGTATGTCTACTCAATTATGTAATTCATGGTAATTGTTATGAGAAGCAATCTACTAAACTCAACCTGTCAGTCCCAATTTAGTTCTTCACACAAATAATGGCCAGTTATTTGATAACGATAAAGCACAATAACAATTACTCAACATGGAAATAGCCGAGATCAATATGAAATAATAAGAATTAGATGTTCATGATAAGAGTACACCCTAATCCTAGCAAAAGGACTTAGTTCATGATCGAATTAAAATACACCACGCTAGAATTCGAAAACAAAGAAGGAAACAACTGAAATTCCATTCTCCACTCCACAACAAAGCTAGAATTCTCCAATTGCTTCATCTTTCTCTCGGCTTATGTATGTGTCTGCGCTGTGTTCTTTTTTTTTTTTTTGTCTCCCACTACCTTGCGGCTGCTGGATTCCTCTCCTTTTAATCTGCCCTCCTTTTCCTTTAAAATCCCCCTCCTCTTTTCCTTTCCCGCAACCTTCTTGATAAGGGGATTAAAAACCTTCCCTCCTTGGAATAGTCCAACGCCAGTTTTTATGAAGCCCAAATTGGACTTAATTTGATAAAGCCCAAATTCCAGCACCAATCTCACATAGCATCAGTCCACTTCGTTATTCTTTCGTGCTTTCCTTGTAATTCTTCTAAAAATCCAGTTTTCTCCGAAAAAATAACTTCTATAAAATTCGCACAAAATACATCAAATCCAACTGTTTTATATCAAACCATGACTAAATTAATAGGTAAAAGAGATACAAAATATACCTATCATATCAACCTAACAAATACCCCCAAACCTATCTTTTGCTAGTCCTCGAGCAAAACATAAAATGAAAAACAAATAAAATTAACTAAAAACAAAAACCTAATTAAGCCCACTTTCGCTGGCGAAACGATTGCACTGAGCATGTGCAACAAGCCTTTAAACCCCTAGGTGTCCCTAGTCGGAGGAGTTGTGTCTCCTGAGGGTTTACCAGTTACGCTACCCACAAACGCTTTACTAAAAAAAAACAAAGGTGTTACAGTTATCACTTCCATCAATTAATGAAAACCAATGCATGCCAATCACACTTCCAAAACTAAAGTTATGCCCTTATAAATCAATGTATCACAATGGAAAGTATGAAGCCAACATCCCAAGCACTCAGGCTTAAAAACATCCACACTTGGCGTGTGTACAAATTCGCCTCGACTCTAAGCCTCACAAGATATCACTCAATTTTCTCATAGAACCTAGGCTTTCTCTCTTAACAAGCATATGTGATGAGTTTATGCAAAAG